CCCTCCCCTCCACAGAATCACCTCTGACTTGTACCCTAGGCTCCTGGAGCCCTCGCCAGCTGCATCACACAATTTATTCCCTAATTATACACTGTCATGAAACAATTAGGGAACAATTCAAGACAGCATAATAAAATGCTAAATTCAATTCAGTCAAGTTCCTTCCAGCTCTGAAATATGATGATTCCACACCCCAGGCATACACGCTTGCCCGGAACGCAGACCTTGACCCAGAAAGAAAGGCTCTTTCTTTCAGAAAGAAACACACATTCACTCAGCCTGCCATTCTGCGGAGCAAAGAGGCGACTGTGTCGCCAGTTTGGGGCCTGCCCACCACTCCTGTGCTGGAGCTTCCTTCCCCACGGGAAGTCCCCAGCACCCCAAGTGGAAGCCCAGCAGCGCAGGGAAAGTCTGTCCTCAGTTCTGCTCTAGAAGTGGTCCTTCCCTGTCATAGCAAACCAGCTCCTGCCATGCGGTCCCGGACCAAGGGGCCAAGGTTGCATGCACTGTGGGAGGACGGGCTGCCTGTGGGCTGGGTCTGAAGTAAGAAGGTTCAGAGGGTCCTGACACTGCACGCACAGGCAGTCCAGCCCCATTTTCTGGCATAGGAGCATCCTCGGGATTTGGGGAAGGCCTGAGCAAGCTCAGAGGGGTTCGTGTGCACTTGCTGGGGAGTTCTCTGTGTGCGTAATGATAGAAATTGCTTCCTTCCCTGATACTCAGTTGGTAAAGAATCCACCTGCAATGCAGGAGATCCCGGTTTGATTCCTGGGTTGGGAAGATCCCCTGGGAAAGGGAAAGCATAGACCCACTCCAGTATTCAGGCCTAGAGAATTCCATGGACTGTCCACGGGGTGGCAAAGAGTCAGACACGACCGAGCAACTTTCACTTTAACTCACTCCCCCCACCCAATCCCGATGCAGACACATCTTACAGAACGTGGAGTGAAAGTGGCTATCAGGGAAAGCTTCCAGGACGCGGTGGAGTGGGAGGTGGATCCTGGAGGAGGACAAGGACTGGGACATGGATCAGGAACCATCTGATGGAAGCTGAGTGAAGCCTTTTGCGCTGTGACTATAGACCAGGCTGAGGTTAGCACCTTGGAGACTTCTGCCTCAGCTGGCCTCAGCCCCTAAGATTGGGTGACCTTTCCCTGTGGTGTCCCGAGGCAGTAGGCACTGCCTGCCCACTTTGGGAGGTCGGCACGATGCCTCCCCTGCCCTCCAGATGGTCACTGGGTTTGCAAGAAGCTGGCCAGGGTGGAGAGGGCAAAGCAGTGAGCTCACAGGACAAGAGCCCTTCACCCCCCTCCCCTCGCCCATCTTCCCCTTCTCAGAGTTGCCACACTCCGTAGTGGGGGGTGGGATGGGGTGGGTGGCGGGGGTGGGGGCAGCACTCAGTCAGTTATTGCAAAAGTATGTCATCTGCCTTCATTGCCTTCTGTTTTTATCCACACACACCCGCCCACCTTCAGTCTCCTCTTTCCCACCCTGCCACCCAGATTCTCCGACTACCTGACTACCTGCTCCTCTCAAGAGAAAAAATTCTCTGGTCATTCTAAACTGTGAGTGAGTTTATGATTCCAAAATGTTTTCCCTCCCCAGGGATTAATTTTCAAGGATACTGCCAGGAGAAGACGAGGTTTAATCCAAAGGAATAAATCTCTAAGGGAGAATTCAGGGACACTAACGTTGAAGTCCGCATTCTTACCAACAGTCTTTACTTTGTCCTTGCTTAATTCATCCTTTATTCAATTAACATTTATTGAGCTGGTGCCATACTGGGTGCTGAAAATCCAAAGAGGGAGAAGCACAATCACTGCCTAGGTGGGAAGAAGAAACATAAACACCTAATCTGAAGATGATGAGAACTCTCTTCAAAGACCTTCCTGCTCCTTCAAGGCAGCCACTTAAACAGAAGCACTTGCTGATTACCAATTATTCCTATCTGCTCTCTACAGCAGTTCTCCTTAGATGCCTATTGGACACTTTTAGAGCTAGACCTGAAATTAACAAAGCTATATGTCAATGTTTATTTTGTAACTCACATACTTGCCAGCTGGACTTCCCCCAGCTTCTGTCCAAAGTAGAGACCTGGCCACAGCCTTTATGAGCACCATCTGGCCTGGATTTCCTTTGTGGTCCTGCTTGGAGTGTTCCAGACCGATCATTTGGACCTGCTCCTTCTCCTTGTGGCTCCTGGTTGAGTACATAACTTATGAGTCACTGCTTTTTTTTTTTGCCCCTCTTTATCCTTTGTTATAAATGGTAACTCCTGACCTCCCTTCCAATGGGTGTTAATAATAAATGACTTCCGGTGTACCACACTTCAACCCTCCACACAGCTACAGATAGCAAAATATGGCATGCGCTGAATTATTCAGTAGGCAAATAATACCACAAAGCTCATCCCGTATTTCAGGCACGGACAGTTGTCTGCTGGGATGATGCACTTTCACTCGGCAGAGTCCTTTCCCAGTGTCATCAGGTCCTCCCCCAAGTCCCACACATCTGCTGCGAGGAGTTGTCCCATCCATTTTAAAGAAGGCAGAAGCTGCTCCCACACCAAAGAAAAGAATCTCCAACACACGAGTCGGTTCTAATTACATGAACCATTATATTCTGCACGTGGAAAAGACATACTGTGCTTTCTCACCTATGTGGGGAGTTTAGGGGTCAATCAGAAATTGGGATCTGAGTTGGCAGTGCCCAAGAAGAACTTGGGAAGTGTGGTCATCACATTTATTCAGGGGCTCAGGGGGCTCTCAGTCAAACGGCAGCTCTCCGGAAGGAAACCCGTTCAGCTGGTGACGATGTTGAATAAAGGGCACCTGATGGAGGTGGCAGTGTCTCTGAATCCAAGGGACCCCGGGAGACAGAGAGGGGGAGTCTGACCTGCGCTGCTGAGAGACGGAGAGAGGATCAAGGGCAAGGGAGATGAGAGGGAGGAGGAGAGTGAGGCAGGACGCAGGGACTGAGAAAGAAAAGTGGGCCCGGAGAGGGTGGCAGGAAGAAAGGACGAGGAGAGACTAGGTGGGGTGAGAAAGGCAGAGAAATTAGAGACAAAATTGTAGGGAAAGGACAGAGAGACAAAAACTGCTGGCAGTAGAAAAATCAGAAACAGAATCCGTGAAGTGGTCTCAGTTCCAGCCCAGGACATCTGCCCAGAACAGCCTCCCAGGGGCCTATTACTCCCATCTTACTCAGCTGATTAGGATTTTCTAGCCAAACCCTCTCTGTGAACCCTTCAGGGAGTCCTTCCCAGGGAGACAGACACCTGCAGACTTACCTAGACACCCCAGGACATCTGGTTGGGCGGGTCACACAGCAGAAGGGCCAATGTTGGAAGCGTAACGTAGGGAACAGACAAGTCTGGACTTGTCACTCTCACTGGGTGACAATCCCAGGCACCAAGTGGCAGTCCAGGGCTCCCACCACAGATATATGGAAAGAACTAGGCTCCAAAAGTGAAGGCAATGGCACCCCCCTCCAGTACTCTTGCCTGGAAAATCCCATGGACGGAGGAGCCTGGTAGGCTGCAGTCCACGGGGTCGCGAAGAATCGGACACGACTAAGAGACTTCACTTTCACTTTTCACTTTCATGCATTGAAGGAAATGGCAACCCACTCCAGTGTTCTTGCCTGGAGAATCCCAGGGACAGAGGAGCCTGGTGGGCTGCCGTCTCTGGGGTCGCACAGAGTCGGACACGATTGAAGCGACTTAGCAGCAGCAGCACCAGGCTCCTGAAGAGTCAGAATAAGACCCTGATCCTAGGCCATGGCCCTTGGCTGTCCCACACCCCAGGGCCTGTCTGTTCACCTCCCCCGTCGGCATCTGACATTGGAGCCACATCCTCCCTTTTTCAAAGCATTGGATAAAATCATGCATATTGAAGCCCCTGAAAACCATACTACTCCTCTTCTGCAGGGTCAATTTGATGTTTTAGTGTCGATATTAACAGCAACAAAAACCCAGGCCTCTTTCCCAGAGAAATTAATCTAGAGTTAGCCTGCACTTGGAAAGGCAAAAATTAAGAAACCAAACAACTTAGCCCCGAGAAACCCTTAGTGGGCAAGTTGCAGCCACACCCACCTTCAAGCAGAGAGAGCATCCCAACTTGTCTGAAAAAATTCCCCAAAATGACCACCCTCGCCACACCCCACCCCCACCCCGCAATAAGCGTGTTCCACCTGAGAATGCTCCGTTTTCATTCGTTCTACAAACAGTTCCTTTTCCTGGATATACAGAATGCCCCTCATTCCTGATTTTAGCTCCAAACACTACAGCAGATCAAGAAGAAATAACCGTGTGATGGTATAAATGTCAGTTCTCAGTATCATATCTTGATGAAAATGGTTCTTCCCCAACGAAGGTCAAGGACTTCCTAGGTGGCACTAGTGGTAAAAAGCCCGTCTGCCAATGCAGGAGACATAAGAGATGTGGGTTCAACCAATGGTTTGAGAAGATCCTCTGGAGGAGGAAATGGCAACCCTCTCCAGTACTCTTGCCTGGAGAATCCCATGCACAGAACCTGGTGGGCTACAGTCCATAGGGTCGGACACGACTGAGCAACTTAGTACAGCCAAGGTCGGCCCAGCCAAGGCTGGGCAGAGTAGGGACGGCCTGCTCAGTGGATTTCAGAGGAGCAGGAAGCCAATGGTCTTTGCCCACCCAGTGCCATCCCAATACACACCTACACTCCTCTTCCAGAAGGGGTGGAATATGGCCCCCACCTCAAGTGGAGACTGGAGACCCAGACTCCCACTCCATCACCCCTCACCCTCATTCCAAAAGAGGGGGCAGTAAGTTCCTGCTTTGCTCTGGTTGGGTCCTGGCCCTCACCCTCCTATCTAAGCAGCCCAGATCAGATCCCAGGGGGAGTTCTGGGCCGTTGCACTGAGACCGCTTCTTCCCTGAGGGCAGCCTGGAGGGGCAGAGGCTGCAGGGTCGCCCCGAGAAGAGCTTCCCCCCTCCCTGGTTGTTCACCGGGGGTCTGTACCTGGAACTGGAGTCACTGCCGCTCTGCACTGCCGGGTCGTCCGTGACATTAAAGAGCCCCGTCCAATTGGCCAGCTGGTCGCCACTCTGCCAACCAAACTGGAGGCCTCTGGCAAGAGAACGAGGCAGTCGGTACTCATGCTCACGTGATGGGTAAGCCCGTCACCAGGGAGCCACGGTCCAGCATGTGCCACATGACACATCGCCTCGACCACTCCTAGTGGAGACGAGAGTGCTGTCCATGCAGAAGGATGACCATAAGAAACCAGGGTCCTTTACAGAGTTCTCTGCTGGTCCACATCCGTGCCCTCAGTTCACCTGGATGGGCAGGTGGGGGATACACGTTGTCATACATGCAGAGACACTGAGGCTTAGGGAGATCAAGGTCACCGAGCTCCCCTACCCTCTGTCTGGTGCATCCTTCAATTCCGCCTCTAGCAACTCGCTCCAGCTCATCAGCTCTTCACCTTCCTCTGAGGCCAGACACACAGCAAAGCTTTTAATGAAGTCTAGTTTTCCAATACATAAGGACAGGCCTCCTGCTTAAGAGATGAACTCAACACACCTGGTTCTCTTTGCTCCCTCCCCCAGCCTGACTGAAATGCAGCAAAGGCATAATAAGGGCCTGAGCATGGCTGGAGAGAAGGCATAGAAGAGGGCCAGCGACAACAATTTGGAAGAGCAAAAGCAGATGGATCACTTGCCTTAGGCCAGAGAGAGGAGCCCTGACTGCTTGTAAGAAGCAAATCTATTCTCCGGGCACAGATCTAGAAAGCTTTGGAAGGTGCAGTGCCAGGGCCACTGAAGGTGAGGGTGCAAAATGGAGTGGCGGGCAGGAAAATTGCTTTAGGTTCTTAAGGAACATTAGCTACTACCCACCTCCACGCACCCAGGGCCCCTGCCTTAAACCCAAGCAAGCTGGGCCTTCTACCTGCCCCCCAGACAGAGAGATGGCAGGAGGCTTGACCCAGAGGTGCTCTACACTTCTGGCCTCATGCACAGAGATACTAGGCTGAAAACAGTTGGGCAGACCTGAAAAGAGGCTAACTGTGCACGCCTGGTCCCAGCCACACTGCCCCAAAGCTTTGGCCATGGTTGGGTTTCTCGGCGGGAACCTGCCCAGGTCCAAGAGAAGGCTACAGACCAAAGGGGTGCTGCCGCCCCATCACCAGGGTGTCTCAGTCTGGCACTGCTACCATTTGCAAAGGGCTGCACAGTGCTTGTTGGGGGGCTGTCCTGTGCTCCCCTGGTGAGCAGCATCCCTGGTTTCTATCCTCCAAGGCCAGCAGCACCTCCTCCCCTACCCTCCTGCTGTGATGACCAGAACTGTCTCCAGACATTGCCAAATGTCTGCTGTAGGGAACCCCTGCCCCCCACACCGAGCCCCAGTGCACCTCCTAGAGGCTGGCTTTGCCCTCAAATGTGAGTATTCAAGTCCCATCAAAGACTTGGCACGTGGCATAAACTTCACTGTGCAAGTGGAGAATTAATCAAACAAACAAACATAAAACTCTTAAACCCCTAAAAATAAAGCCCTTTAACAAACAGCCTCTATGCCAAGGGAAACGGGGCAGGGATGGTGGTCGGAGCTGGGCTCTGGTCCAGCCGGATCAGCCGCTAATGAGCTGAGTGGCCCCGGTGAAGTCTCCTCATCTCTCTCGGCCTCTGTTGCTATCTTTCGAGTCAGGAGAGCGGTCCTGATGCCTCAAAAGTGCTTGACCAGAAGTATCACTGGGCTGAGCTGTGTCCTCAATCACCGGGCTGAGCTGTGTCCTCGATGGCAAGACAGGTCGCCTCCAGCCTGTGAGTCAGCCTGGTTTCCAGCCAGACGCTGAGTGGAAGAGGCCCTCGGGGCACTGTGAGCAGAAGGGCTGCACACGTGAGGTGCTCAGGGGATGCTTTGCCGTGTGACTCCGATTCTCTGTCCACACTCTCTGCCTCCACAGCAGAGCGGAGCTGGGGGCAGAATAGGCACAACTCACAGGACAGAGCCTGAAGCCACAGCAAAGCTCCCTTCAGTTCCTGGTGCGTTCAGGGAACAGCAGCAGCATTGCACTTGTGCTGGCCCGAGATCTTTATATTCTTGAACTAGTGAAGTTGCCCAGTCATGTCCGACTCTTGCGACCCCATGGACTGTAGCCTACCTGGCTCCTCCATCCATGGAATTTTCCAGGCAAGAGTACTAGAGTGGGTTGCCATTTCCTTCTCCAGGGGATCTTCCCGACCCAGGGATCGAACCCAGGTCTCCCGCATTGCAGGCAGACGCTTTACCGTCTGAGCCACCAAGGACGCCCAAGTATTTATTTATTTATTTGGCTGCATCAGGTCTTAGATGCAACATGTGGGATCTAGTTCCCTGACAAGGGATCAGACCCAGGCCCCCTGTGTTGGGAGCTCAGAGTCTTAGCCTCTGGACCATTGGGGAAGTCCCTTCATATACTTATCTATCCACAACACAAATATTGCATACTTCTATAAATCTATCACATATTCAGGCTTCCCTGGTGGCTCAGTGGTAAGGAATCCGCCTGCTAAGCAGGAGACTCAGGTTCAATCCCTGGGCCAGGAAAATCCTCTGGAGAGGGAAATGGCAACAGACTCCAGTATTCTTGCCTAGGAAATCCCATGGACAAAGGAGCCTGGCGGGCTACGGTCCACGGGATCACAAAGACTTGGATACGACTTAGTGACTAAACAACATCACATATACATTTATAAATACATTGTGAGCATCTATAAAATAAACTATTAATTTATCTGTTTATTGATTTGAAGGGGTTACATTTCCTTTCAAAGAGATATTTTGAGGAAATATTAGTAGGTATTTCTTAGAAAGAATTTGTGTTTGGTTTATTAGGAGGGGAAACATTTTGTGAGCCCTTCACATACATACTCTCCATTCCTACAACAGCTTCATGTAGCAAATCCCATTCTTTGCACTTATAGTTGATAAAATATGCAGCTCAGAGAGGTTTGGTAACTCACCCAAGGTCACAAGGCTAACAAATGGCCAACCTAAGATTTAAATCCAGCACCTTCTGACTCTAAAAACCAACCTAAAAGTCTGTACCAGAATACCTATTGGCCAAGAAAACAGTAGTATTTCCACCTGAAATTTTGCAAATTAGCCAATTCACAAGCACATTCAAGCAATTCCCAGTCCCAGCAGCCAGCTAGAAAACTCACAGGCTCCTTAGAAAGAGTCCGGCCAGCAAGGCTCATGTCCTCTACCAAGTGGGTCAGCCAGCAGCACTGCCACTCTCCTGCCCAGACTGGCTGATGTGAGACGGGGTGTCCCTTCACAAGACAGATCCCCCCAGGGATGTAGAAGTGACAGACTACTAAGAAAGCATCAATTACTATATTTTAGCAGGAATTATGACACAGAAGGGCCATTCGCTGATAGCTCAGTTGGTAAAGAATCTGCCTGCAATGCCGAAGACCCCAGTTCAATTCCTGGGTCAGGAAGATTTCCAGTTTGCTGTGATCTGCACAGTCAAAAGCTTTAGTGTAGTCAGTGAAGCAGAAGTAGATATTTTTCTGGAATTCCCTTGCCTTTCCTATGATCCAGCAGATGTTGGCAATTTGATCTCTGGTTCCTCTGCCTTTTCTAAATCCAGCTTGTACATCTGGAAGTTCTCGGTTCATGTACTGCTGAAGCCCAGCTTGAAGTATTTTGAGCATCAATAATATCCCCCCAAAATTATGACGGGTTACTAAAATATATGGACTGGGTTAAAAATATATATGTTTCCGGCCCTGGCCTCCTCGGGTTCTGCAGGCAGAGACGGGAGCCACTGTCTTTTCTACATTCCTCAGGTCAGTAGAGCATGGGAAACCAGCTGCCTCCAAGTTCATCTTCGGTCTCCATGTACCCCCACACTCTCTCGGAGCTGCTTCCTACTGACCATGCCAGCAGCCACCTCCTCTGTTCCTGAACCTTCCAAGAATCCCCACTGCCAAAGGACAAGTTCCAAACTCTCAACTCAGGGGCCCTTCCAGCAGCTGCCCTGCATCTTGACCTGAAGTCCAGGGAAACCTCAGCCTCGTGACCCACCAGGCCATTTCGACCCTCAAGCCTTCGCCCTGAGTGTTCCCATTCAACTGGATCCCATCCCTCACTTACCTGGCTCCCACCCAAAGTTCAAAGTCCAGTTGAAGAACCTTCTTCTCCCTGAGCCCCCAGCTCTGTCAGCTTAACTCTGACTCTCTCTCACCACCCCTTCAGCACCATGCCTTCTGCCCTGGGTCTCTGGTCCTCTGTGCCTGCTCTTCGTGTGGTCCCTACATGGGATAGTCCATTATAGACTTGAGTGTTCACTGGAAGGACTGATGTTGAAGCTGAAACTCCAATACTTTGGCCACCTGATGCAAAGAGCTGACTCATTTGAAAAGACCCTGATGCTGGGAATGATGGAAGGCAGGAGGAGAAGGGGACAACAGAGGATGAGATGGTTGGATGGCATCACTGACTCAGTGGGCATGAGTTTGAGTAAACTCCCGGAGCTTGTGATGGACAGGGAGGTCTGGGGTGCTGCAGTCCATGGGGATGCAAAGAGTTGGACATGACTGATTGACTGAACAGAACTGAACTGAACAGCCTTTATAGACTTGCATGTAAATCAGGTGTAAAGTAGTCTTCCCCGAGAGCCCTAAAGCAAGTGGAGTGGGGAACAGGGGGCTGATTCAGGCAGCTTTAGGTTCTAAAACTCCAGGATCCTTGACAAAAAATTAGAGCAGGAGGTTTTCACGTCCCAGGAAAGAGGAAGAAGCAAGGTATTTGGGGAGCAGAGGCAGAGGGCAGACTCCAGATGGCTCACTGGGTCCAACCTTCCTGGGGCGGTAGCAGGGCTGTGCACACAGGGGTGTTTCTAACTCTCATGCCGAGAGATGAGTTGTAGGATGTGTAATTCGAGGACTGTTAGTAGTGGGCACTAGGCATGGAGAGTCTGGATTTGAAGGGCCCCAGGCCAGGGCGTGGGGTCGGGGGTAAGGGCCTGAAAAAGCAGAGGATGCAGGGCCAGGGCTGGGCCTGTGTCCCGGGCAGGGCTCGTCACAGAAACCGCCCTTTCCCAGGTGTCAGAAACCGGAGTGGCCAGGGTTTCTGGT